ATTAAGGAACACCCTGTATATTATATCTTTCTCATTTTTATTTATTCTATTTTTTAACTCAAAAATTGAAAGTAAGGAGAATTACTCACCTCCAAATCTATATTCATTGAGTTTCTGCAGTTTCTAATTAAAAAGGCCTAGAGTTTCTGAATGCTTTGTCTCGCCAACAATGCGTTTAACGAACTGCATTGATTTAAATCCGTCTGCAGCTTCATTATCTCCATAACTCCACAATAGGAACAACGGCCGCTATGAGAGCATCAGATAAAACGCTTCGGCTTATACCGTGTTAATTAACAAAGGCAAAAGCGTTTCGCGTTAATATGTAACTTATTACTACTACTTTTTTTGTAGTGTTTGTAGGTTTTGTAGTGTATTGATTAACGACAACAAGGTAATGAGCAATATATTTCCTTTTAAAAAGGGACTTTAAGAATATATTATTAATAAAACTTATTATGCTACCTATTTAAAAACAGAATTGTTGCAAAAAGTTTAATTTAATTTCTTTTATGAAATTGAATTTGGAAGTTAAAAAAAAAGGTTCTCATGTTTCAATCTTACTAAGGCAATCTGACTGATATTGAAACGTTTTTTTCTTCTAGTTAAACACATTGAGTTGGTCTAGACATTTTTCGTTGAACTTTTAAACATAAAATATCTGCAAAATTACAACTAGTTTTTTGAGAATTATCGAAAAACAGCGTCGTAGATGTAGGATCAGGCTGTGGATATTACATAGAATGTTGCATTAATCGACCTAACAAAGAGATGCACTTTGGGCAATTATGCAATAGTTCGGAGTACCCAACAGATTTCTTACAATGTGTAAAAGTCTCCATAACAACAAGTCTAGAATGTCATATCATGAACCACTGAGCGATCCTTTCCTAACAACTACAGGAGTTATACAGGGCTGCATTTTAGCGCTTCTCCTATTCAACATATTCATGGCAGCGCTCTTTATTATAGTGGACAGCAAATTGCAGGTAAGAGCATTAGATAAGATACGACGGGGGTCTGTTCAACATCAAAAAAACTCAGAGCAAAAGCACGAATAAAATTCATCATAGGACTTCAATACGCTGCAGCACATAGGTATACCTGATCATACGAGACCTTGGGCATTAAACTAAACATTGATAAAACTAAAATCATGTGCACTCCTTCTGAAAATTATATGTTATAAAAATCGGAGAAGAACTATTGAAATATGTAGCGGAATTCAATTACCTCGATAGCTTGATTTCACAAAAGGCCAACTTAAGGCTCTAGACTCTGAGATTCAGCACAGAATTAGCAGCGCTACAAAAGCATTCTGAAATTAAAGTACCTAGTTTTCTACAATCATGAGCACTAAACTGAAACTTGACAATGACATAACAATCATCAACACAAAACCGAAACTTGACAATCATGAGCACAAAACCAAAACTTGCAGTGTATCGAGTCATAATAATCCCCACCATGTTATATGCAAGCGAAACCTGGGTGCCGTACCGCCGGCACACGGACGCATTAAACAAGTTGCAACAGAGACACCTTAGACATATGTTAAGTATCAAATGGTACCACCATGTCTCACAAGTATCGGTCCTTGAAATAGCTAGCTGTGAGAGCGCTGAAGTCATGATTCCGCATAAGATCGGCTGGTTACGTATGCAGGATGCAAGAAGCCGGAACCTCTTTTTTATGGTAAGCTTGCAGATGGTAAGAGGAAACCGGGTGGACAACTCAAAAGTTACAAGAATATTTTCCAAGAAAACTCAAAGGGGATAAGCATGCAGAATCAGTGGGAGGAAGCAGCGCACATTAGAACGCAATAGAGAAGAATTGTAAACTCAGTTAACAACGACAACCAATAAGTTTAGAGGCAACAAAATAATTAGATATTTGAATATCCGGAGGGCGGAAGAGAGATAACATCACGTATAGAGCTTTTTAGTCACAGAAAAGCTCATAAAAGAAAACGCCTTGCGTAACCATCTTCTGATACATATCACATAGTCGTCAGCGAATAATGGCAGTAGGGTAGGGGTAGTATTACATAAAAAATGGAATCGAATACTGTCAATATTCCTTCAAAACATGAAAAACAACAAAAAGTACACGTTCTCATGCTTCAGTTTGTATTGATTGCTCAGTCCATAAAATAAATGTAGAACTAAGTTATACTTTCACTGAAAATATGTATATAATGTTCTCACATTTATTATTCATTCAGTAACGCTGAACCAGTGAATCTGATAGGTGAGAACCCGCCTGTAGATTTATCAAATCTCTGATTTTCTATGCCTGTCATAGAAATTAAATTTTTATAATTGTCTGTGAAAAAGACAATCATATTGATATCTGTATTGCCGGCATTCCATTGTTTTTTTTTCAAAATCCGACTAAAATAGACACGTATAAATTAATTAAATAATAATTGTTAAATTAAACAGAATTTTAAGTTTTATGCGTTAAAAAAAGATTATAATAAATATCTTTTTCCAGAGGTGATCTTGTGATTTGACGTAATAAACTCATAAGTAGTATGTTTTCAGAACCACTACTACTTTTATATTGAAAGTACAGTATGATCGAATAAAAACGGCGTCAGCAATGGCTATGAAATGAAGATCGCTGTTATTTTATATGTAAAATTATATGGGAAATGTCAGCGATCGTCATTTCCCAGCCAACCAGACGCCGTTTTTTTTTCGATCATACGGTATTTACCTATACTATTTCATTTATTAAAACTTTTAATTTCTTCCTTTAATAAACAGTAAAACAATATTCTACAAAGTCCAGCTACTTCACTCTATACTAACGTATTCAGTCGAAAACACAATGAAAAAAATATATAGAATATTTAAAGCAACAATAAATCAATATATAAAGACTAATAAATTATTAAGTGATATTTGTTATATTTCAGTTGGAACAAATAGAAAAATCTGGAAATGTCGACTATAATGAAATACAATCTAGCTATCAAATTCCCAACAATATATGCATTTAATGCAAGAGATGGATTCTCTGGAAACTACTTGAACACTAATTTGATTATAAGGGTTATACCTTAAATAGAATTAATAATAGATATTTCAATCAATTGAAAGGATATTATTTTAACACATAAACTAGTTCATTGCAGATTTGACAAGAAATACTTGTATATCATACTCGATGAAATTGTGAAAAAAATAGATAAGTAATATTTGCAACGGATACATCGGCATATATTGTGTAGAAAATAATTAAATTAAAAAACAACTATTTTTAAATATTAATTATTATTATTATCAAAATAATATTATCAATTACATTATTAACAAGTTATTAACAAAAAATGTTTTTTGTTTATAAAAAATCAATGTTTTTTATAAACTGAAAATAAAACTTAATTATCGATATAAGAGACTACTTTTAAAAGAATATCAAACAAACTGATATACCAAATTTCTTTTTATAGACAAAATGGCGTTAGCAGGTTTAGTACCAGAATGAAATTTAACTTTAACTACCTTTTATTAAAAAAATTGCTGACCTGTATTTTCGTCTTAATCAAGACGACCATTATATCGGGATAAGCTGTTTGATTAAGAACCTTTTAGCTGAAAATAGCCTTGATACACAAAACTACCACATTTTTGTAGACAGTTTTAATAAATTAGTTTATAGTAAATTTTTTATACAAGACGATAAAATGGTATTTTATCGTCGATCGAAAACATTAATTCGGGATCGATGAAATTGCGAGTGAATTAATTTTGTGAGACGATAATGCAATTTTATCGTCGTGTATAAAACAATATTTTTTTTCCATAGCGAGTTACGTTTTAAAAAATATTCAGAAATTATTATTTCAAGGAATTTATTACGAGTAGAAAAAATATTGTGATGAGTTGGCGTTGGTTTCTATGTAATTTGACAAATAAATAAAGCTGTCTCTTTAGTTGTCAGTTTTGAGTCAATATTTTTTAATTTTCTTTGGTGCCGATTGCTGATTGACTTGGAGCCAGAAATGGCTCAAAACGAAATAAGTAAATTACCAACAGATATTCAGGCTGAGGCGACAAACGCCATATTATCCAAACTACTTTCATTTAAATCCCGAATAACTTATGAAAAGGAATAAAAAAAAATTCAAAAATGGAAGCAAATAAAAAACGTGCGGGAATTAATAAAGTTTTTAAACTATCCTCGCTGTTAAATTATCATTTAATCTGCCCTTGCGGCTAAAGTACTATTTTATCTACAATTTTTGATAGATATAAGGCAATTTTAACAGTTGCTAGGGAAAAATGTATATTTATCACTGCAATAAAAATTTATGAAATTACTAAAAGATAGATTATTCTTAAACTCTCTTTTCTTGTAAAATAATATTGACTTATATCATAATAAAAATCTAGACGTTGCAAAATAGTCAATAGATTATTTATTACGAAATATAAAACATAAGATATATTTTTAATTAGAAATGGCGATAAGTATTTTATAACAGAAATAAAGAATTCTACACTACAATCATAAAACCTACATTAATTTAAACTATTTATTGTCAAGACAAGTTTTAATATATTAACATATTTTTATTTAATATTACTCAAAACTGTTATCTTAAATATTAGGGTACACAAAAAAAAGTTTTTTTTGGGTTACCGTGAAAATATCGTTCAAGATGATGAAAAAAAAATTCTGGTAAAGTTTCAGCTTTTAATAATAATATTAAGAGGTGCCTCATCGTGATTTTCTATTTCTCATTTAAATAACAAAATAACACAGGGAAACATTTTTTTTGGAATTTTATTGCGTTCTAACAAATCAGCGTTTTGTAAAAATCAATACATATTCTAGTAGGGAATTAAACAATCTTCAAAAAAGGTTTGACCACCAACCCAAACCAAGCCAATAGTTCGTGCATACGGAGAACTATTATTATTACAATGTAATAATTTACTCATTATTACTCAACATTAGCCAATTACTACTCATATAATTTGTTTCAGGAGCATGTTATGCAGAGTTCGGAGTCAGAGTTCCTCATACTACCGGCTCCGCTTACATGTACTCGTACGTGACGGTGGGTGAGTTTGTGGCCTTTGTTATCGGTTGGAACATGATACTAGAGTACCTGATCGGTACGAGCGCATGCGCGTGCGCTCTCAGTGCCTGCTTCGATGCGCTGTCTAACGGAGCGATCAGCGCAGCTATGCACACGAGTTTCGGCGAGTTTATTGGTAAGTACTTTATTGTATGAATCCACCTAGTAAAAAATAATAAAAGAGAACACAACACACACACACACACACACACACACACACACACACTACAACCAATACTATTTGACATTCACAAAATCATAGGTTGACAACTTAAGGTGGCGTTTGCCCGGTTTTGCATTGTTTAGTTTTAATTTAAAAGTAGATAAAGTTTTTCTTAAATTAGTTAAAATCGGCTTGTCCAAAATTGTTCAAAGTTGCCATCTGTATTTATAATGCAGACCTTTAAAAAACCTATATACGACTTCGCTGTAAAATGACCAGGGGAGCCAATATTTGGACAGTTCAAAATTTGCATGAAATTTCCTGTTTCCAACGACGGTGCACCACCCGGTAGTACTTTACCATTCAGAAGCTTCAAATATATTTTTGCGTACAGGGTTGCTTAGTAATCCGTAGAAGTTCCTTTATTTTTATTTGAAGTACTAGGCGGTGTTGTCATGATATTTCTTACTTACTAAAACATATTCCAATATAACATCATGGATAATTACAGCTGGGGGTCGGAATATTTAGTTTAACATGCAAAATAAAACAGTAATTGACCTGTATAATAATATAACAGATAATTATTATAATGTAAATAAAATGTGTATTAAATCAGAAACATTTAAGAAATAGGGCACCCACGTAAATATCATATTTAGTAATAAATAGTACATTATTCATTTCCTAATCGAATAATCAATATTAATTCCTATAGTATGAATGGGAGTTGATAAATAAAAGATTAAGCTTTTAAGGGTAAATATGAATCGGTATAAATCCATATTTAACTGCACGCTCATATTTAAATAGGTCTTAAAAGTTTATATAATTATATGAATTATTTTCAATTTACAATTTATTTATTTAAAACCACAACTGCAAAGTATGATATAATGCCATAAAATAGGTAAATACTTTTCTTGAAAATACTTTTGGTGTTTTCGCAACTAGAAAGAAATCTACAAACTAAAAAAGTTATATTTTGTAGCAACACCACTAGGCTGAGTCCAATTTGTCAGTGGTATTTTACTGATAAAACAAATTTGCTTAACGCAAAAAATTCTAGTGGCGAAGACCCCAGAAGTATTTTCAAGAAATAAACCCTACACAAAGGTATAGACATTATTTAAATAGTTCTTAGTTAAACCAATACAATTCTATATACAGGGTGGCGCCTCTCATACGCCGCGGAAGCTCCAAGGAACACGGTAGTTTATATCGAAATGAAATTTTGGCAGCATATGTAGGTTAACTGAAAGCATTTTATAAAAATATATAGAATTATTCAGGGTGTCCCTAAAAAAAGTTACACATCAAAGTTGTGTTTTTTCTAATGGAACACCCTATATATTAATTGATTTTAGGATTCTAGGAAAAAAATAAAGGTGAGTTTTATTAAAAAAGCATATTCCTAAAATCTAAGGATTTTGACATATTTCACATTTTGTGAAAATGAAGAGCAAATTTTAAATTTCGGTAACAGCTACCTAAATTTTAGTTGACCTTGTATAGCCTGATATTTAATTACAGTAACCATTGTATGTTAAACCAAATTGAAATTTGACCTGAAAAGTTATACAGAATGAGGCAAAATTAATATGTAACATTAGTCACTTTTAAAAGCAAATTACTCCTTTATTTTAAATGGAACACTCAGTAAATTTGTCCGTTGTGCAATGGGGAATTTATATATCTTCAAAATATTATTAAGGCTGCGTACCGCTCAGACAAAGATTTTCCCAGATATTTTAATTTTTATGATTTTGCGTCAGCAAATCTTTATCATTTTAAACAATCTAGGTGGCTGTGCGATATACCTTTTGTTAATTTAACAAAAATTAAAGATTGAAGAGTAAAATACTCAAGGGTAATAAAAACGTACACGTTTAAAACATATTTTAATTATTACAGAATTAAAACTAGATATAAACCAATAATTATGCGACAAAAATTACCTAGATGAAATCAAATGCTCAAAATGCTTCCTTTCCTGTTAACTGCATATAAGTGCAGTTAACAAGAACTTTTCAAAAGGATCTTTTCATTTTAAAAGGCATTTATGTGGAGTTCTACCTCGAAAAGCAGCTACAATAATTTCTCTCATGTCGACACTAGTTGGTCGAGTTTTGTAAACACTGTCTTTAACATATCCTCATAAAAAAACCAGACTAGATAAAATCAGGAGCATTTAAGTATTCTATTAATTGATACACTATTCATAACTAATAGAATCATATCAATTCTTTCTGATGTAGGATAAGTTTGCATTTTCGTCAAATTTCTGAGAATTTCTTTTGTGTTTTAACTGACACAAAATGATAACTAGTTGTTAAAGTTGGACTAATTAGACAGCTATGTTGAAGTAACATCAGACATATCACAGCCACCTAGATTTTATCAAATAGTAAAGATCTACTCAGATCAAATCATGTAAATGAAAATATCTAGGAAAATCTTTGTTTGGAGGGTAGGCAACCTTAATAGTATTTTGAAGAGACGTAAATTCTCCATTGAATATCGGAATAATATACTGGGTGTTCCATTTAAAATAAGAGAGTAACTTGCTTTTAAAGATGATAAATGTTCAATATTTATTTTGTCTCGCCCTGTATAACTTTTTGGATCAAGTTTTAATTTGATTTATAGTACAATAGTTAATTTAACTACATATTAGGCTATACTGGGTAAATTCTAATTTAAGTAGTTTTTATTGTAATTTAAAAATTGTTCTTTATTTCTAGAAAATGTTAAATATGTCAAAAACTTTACATTTTAGTCATATACTTCTCTTATAAAACTCACCTTTATTTTTCTCCCAGAATCCGAAAATCAATTAATATATAGGGTGTTCCATTACAAAATACACAACTTTGATATGTAACTTTTTTGGGAGACACCCTGTAGAACTCTCTATATTTTTAAAAAGTGGTCTGTATTAACCTACATATGCTCACGAAATTTCATTTCAATACAAACTGTCGTTCTCCTTAGATCCTCCGCGGCATATGAGAGGCGCCACCCTGTACAGATTTTTTTAAATACATTTTTTAAAACATATCTAGTGGGGAGGCTTTTCGCGTGAAAATAAGAATTCTTTATTATATCAACATAGATCGGGTGCTACGTCTGGTCGGTAGGTACTTCTCTACGGTGTGGAAAGTTGAACACTAAAAGCAAGTGCCATAAACAAACTGGAATCTTTCGAAATGTGGATATACCGCAGAATCCTCAAAATACCATGGACAGCCAAGATAAGAAACGAGAATGTGCTCAGACGTATTAATAGAGAACGTGAACTCTTCAACACCATAAATAAAGAAAGACTGCATACCTAGGTCACATCATGCGTAACCAGAAATACCAGTTTCTCCAGTTGATTATCGAGGAAAACCCTAGGTACGACTGATATTGGAGATAGAGAACTAACGTCTCTAAAACCGTCTCAGATACCGTCTTTTGTCAAAGTCCTGAGAATGTATAATGTTAAGGGGACACAATAGATCTGTATGGTCGTGGTGATTATCCCTCCCATACATTCTACATTCTATATTTTACGTTCAGCAAATTAAAAAAAAATTGAGATTTACAAAAGATCTATTTTTTAAAAGTTTTAACATCCTTCCATCCTAACTTAACACGGGGGTTAGGGCAAATTAATAAACTTACGTTTATCTCATTAAGGAGACTGAGACTTTCACTCGGCATTAAGCGGTCTACATAATAAAAATGTTCACAAAAAAAATAAAACGTGCCTACTTCTCATAAAACCATTCATTATGACATGAAAACTCAGTATGCAGAGTTTCATAACATTCCGTAAAAGGTTTATGCCTCAAAAATCCGTGCGTAATTATCGTAATCGTTTGAATTCGCTAAACGCTCACCTATTGGCCTGACGTCACTGCTTCGATCGGTATTTCCGCGCGAGAAACGGTGCTGTCTGGACGCTGTGGAATTTCTAACAGAACAAGCTAGAATACGACATATCGCGTTGTGCTCGGATGTAGTTTGTATATTAAATTTGGTTTATTGTGATTAAAATTTGGAGTTTATTACTAGTTTAAAAACAAAGCTGAGAAACATAGTGAGATGGAGGACGGGTTTACTTGAAAGCGATAACAAACAATACTTGGTTTTTAACAATGCAAAAATTATTATTGAATTTTTGAGCTGTCAGAGGCTAGTATTTAGGAGGAGGAGGCCAAATTTTAATTATCATATTAAACTGAAAATTTCCATGCGTATACAGAAGCTAAGACAATGTAAAATTATCGTATTGTTGATCTGATACAGGGCCGTATTAAGGAGAAGGAGCCAAATCTTAAATTTTAATTGTATTGACCTGAAAATTCGCACACGTATAGGGTGTCCAGTTTAAAACGAGGTACCTACATGGGGAATAATGGGGATCTTGAAGACCGTTAAAGTTACAAGATCGGTTAAATAATACATTATTAAATAATAATATTATAATCAATCGTTTGTGTGTCCAAAAATAATCTATGTCTATTTTATTTAATATTCATATACCGTTACGTAAATACAGGGAGAAAAAGAAAAATGTGCATTTTCTAAACACGACCATATTTTCTTTATTATTTGAGCTAAGGTCATCAAAATTTTAACATAGGGGTAAGGCAATATGGAAATTTTAAAAATCATGTCCAAAAAAGTCTAGGCGTACTACGTTGCGCATGACCGAAATGTTCTTTTGCTTTTCCTATGAGCGCGATATATATGGTTGAAAACATTTTTTATAAGGATTTTTAAAATACCAAATTTAAACGCTCATAAGAAAAATAAAAGCTGACCTCCGCCGTGCGCAACATAGAAGGCCTAGGTTTTTTTATATCATTTTTAAAATTGCAATGTTGCCTTGCCCATATATTGAAATTTTGATTACCTTAGAGCTCCAATAATAAAGAAAATATGGTGTTTTTTCGGAAATGTTCATTTTTTTCTTTTTCACC